TGAGAAGCAGGAGGAAAAGATGTAAGAATATGTACGGAACGCATATGCATGTATCAAATGCTATAGATACAAATACTATTGCTTTACAAATACTAGTGCCTCACGTGTGTGACTAGTCTTCTCTCCTGCCTCAAAAATAATTTGGTTAGGTGTACATGCCTACCGGACTGTTGTGCTTTGGTCCCAAGTGGCATTGCTTTATTCAGCTGTGGATATTTAAACTTGAAAGGGCAATTCTAATGTCGTATTGGCACCTCTCAACTGAATTGTCAAAACAACCCATGTTTGGGGAGTTACGACACTAAGAATTAGGCATGAATTTGTTGACTAGCACTTTTCTGGTACATCTGGGCATTTTCCTGTAGTACTTTGTGGCTAAAGAACTGAAGGTGGTCACTATTTGGACTTTATTTCTGATATGCAACTTCAAGGTGTTTATAAAGAAATAGTTGTGTGCCAGCTGAAAGGAGCTCCTAGCCATGACATTTGTCATTCCAGCCTTAATAAAGGGGGCTAGGCAGTAACAGGTTCAAACAAGTGGATTTATTATGTTAGTCTTACAATAGCAACCCTTCAAGAATGCATTAAGCAGCAAGGAACCGCTAAGATTTTCATAGCAAATTTGCAAATGTATTTCAAACTGAACTTGTGGAAGTTTGCACTGTTCTGTAGGGATCCTTCATTTACGAGATTCTGGATCCTTAAAAGATGAGAGACAGACAGATCTGTATCTTGCATCTGTATCATATGTATCTCTGTTATATACTGATGTATGTTGAAATGATTTCTGGGGGGCAGATGCTGGATTCGTGGATCTGTGTCCAGATTATTTGAACATTAACCTTAATTATGTAACTATCATTTTCTTACTAAACACACTTCATACAAACCAGGAAATATTCAGCTGTAAACAGGATTGTCTATACTCTGTGATTTGGTTCGCATTTCCTTGAGGTCATAATTTTATTTTAGAAATTAATTTCTCTTTTTAAATATATTTCAGTGTAAGTAGTTGATATATTCTGTGAATCATAATGACACACAGTCAGAACCCCATATTTTTATGGGTCTGGCGGTCACCTTTCTGCTGCCTAGCTCTTATTTCAGCAATCAATTTAATTTATCCCTTAAGCATTAAGATGAAGTAGCATAAGCTAAATTATGGTTTTATTTAAGTTTCTGTATTTCACAGCATTTTCTTTTCCTCCTCCTATGTTACTCACGTCTCCCCAAGAATCCTGCTTCTTATAGACACGGATCTGTAAAGTGGATTATGCATATCTAGGCATCATAAAGGAACACAAACGGTCATAAAGAGTTCTTGCAACTTGATACAGTTTAATACATGGATGAGGCAATGTTTTAAGCCCTTGAAAATTAATTGAATTGTAGTAGCATCAGATTATTTCCGTGTTGTGATGATGACTAATACATATATTTCTCAGCAGGAGGACTGAATCAGTGTGAAAACTCAGTGGCCTTCTGAACTTAATCAGAGAAATGTTAAATTGCAGTGGAAGACTAAGAGAGAACTCCCATTTCTAAACTTGAATCAGGGCTCATTATATGAGATTAAGCAAGCTGTCCGCCTTTCTTGGTTTCAGTTTCATTGGATATAGAATGTATCTCTGTCCAGAATAGAAGCATTTCAAGGCCTGTATTCTTCAGTCCATGCATAATGCTTTGATACTGTGCATCAAACAGATGAATTTAAGTTAAACTACAGTTGCTGTACTCTTAACACTTATATAGTAGCATGGGTGATTCTGCTCAGGAATGGCAAATCATATTTCTAAATTAAGAGATATTTTTAGTGAAGTTCAGGACAGAATTTTAGTGTTGTATCCCAGGTAGTGAATGTACTCCTCTGATAATTTCAAATTCTGATTTTAGTTATAATGATAATAGTATTGTCTTAAATTCAGTGGTTCTAAACCAGACAAATGGTACTTTTTAAACCTGCCTGTTCTATAGCAGTGCTCTCTCAACATCTAGTCTTGGCCTGTTTTCCTAAATACTTCCTTTTAAAGATTGTATTATCAGAAGAGCTGTGAGTTCTCTGGAAAATTTGGATGTGTTGTACTCTATATTAAGGCAACATTTGCTAAATCCACAAAAAAGTTTAATGAATAGCACCCAATACAAAATGTTCCTGCTGAGAGCACTTGTTACAGAACAAAAACACCTGTTAGAACTAATGATTCCTGAAAAATACCAGGTTTTGTAGCTTTGAGATGTGCAGGGAGAAATTTACAGTGTTTGTTTATTACCACATTTTATTTAGCAGATAATCTATTTCTATACTGCTACACATGTAATTTCAGACTTCAGCCAGAAAGAATTTTTCTAGTGATGGAGCAAGGCAAAACAAGCTGTTTCAAACCATTTGGATAACTTTCTTTCGCAATCTTTGGACATTTTGTTGATGAAAACATAAGTTTTTGCAGTTTTGAAGACCGATTTTGTGGTTCATGAACTTTCAAGGTGATGCTTGAAACTAATTTTGTTGAAGTTAAGGTTACTCAATACTTTGTGAGAGTTATAACAGTCTCACAAGTGGGCATGAATGCACAGCAGAAAACTGGGATTAAAGTACAGGGAAAACAAATTATTTTAAAGTGTCACTTATTTCTGGTTTTAGGTCTCAATACAAAAAATGTCCAAATGATTGCACAGATCCCAGAAAAACTGTGTGCCGCCCTAAATATTAAAAAATATTTTTTGTAAATGAAGAGGCATTTGCACCTTGGGCTTGCTCTTTCTTTTTAACTAATTCTTTTTTCCACACTGCTTTGAGCAGCTGTTTTCAGTGCTCATCTTACTTATGTTTATATTGGGTGGAGTTTAAAAACATTTAAAAACAATAATTAAACAATTAAAGTGCACCCATAGTACAGGTTTCCAGTGACTTGGATGCATAGAATCAGTGAAGCTAAGTTA